CCCTAAACCCTAAACCCAACTTTCCTTGGCTCGTCCCTATGAGGTGCGCGCTGCCTGGTACGGAGCCATGGGCCGAGCCGGAGGCATCAGCCGCCGCTTGGCCAACTCCTCATTCAGATCCGGCTTCATGTAGGGGGGCCTTAATAATTAGAATAGGGTTTAGGGTTTAGGGCTTAGGGCTTTGGGTTTAGGTAGGGGGGCCTTAATAATTAGAATAGGGTTTAGGGTTTAGTTTAGGGTTTGGGGTTTAGGGTTTCAGATCCAGCTTCATGTAGGGGCCTTAATAGTTAGAATAGGATTTAGGGTTTAGTTTAGGGTTTGGGGTTTAGGGTTTCAGATCCATCTTCATGTAGGGGCCTTAATAATTAGAATAGGGTTTTGGGACCAATTATATAATAATGGGAATGATGATAATACGGAGCCTCCAAAATTAGTATATATAGGTCATTGTTTAGGCATCTATATTTCTATACTAGATGCTGAGTTCGTGGACCACAAAGGGTCAACCCTTATAATGCGGAGAACGAGCATAACATGCCATGGAGAATTCCACTGAGAGTGTTTGGGGATGGCTATTTGTTCGAGCTTTTAACATAGAGACTAAAGACGTAAAGCTATTGCTAGTTGGCTGCTTAGGCCCCTATGTTGTGCATTCCACATCCGGCCTGCTCCTTTTGCGGCGGGGTTAGCGCATTGATCTTGTCTTTGATATTCGCCAAAATGGTCTGGCACAGAGCACTTTGGGGTTTGGGGCGTGCGGGCGAGTGTGGATGCCGTGGAAGCTGAAGCCCAAGAACCCGAAAAAACCGACGTCCTGCAATACTGACTGTTTATGATATAAATCCTGCAGTACCTTAAGTAAGGACCATACACTATGGGAATTCTAGTATATTCCTTATTATGGGTAATGCAGGATTTATATCATCAGCCGTACAATATCTAATGGGCAGGCGGCGTGGTTTCCACGACCTGTGATGGAAAACTCCTCCGTCAACTCCTGGTGAAGCTCGAAGCCCCCAAACCCCCGCAGCAATTCGCCAAAGTCAAAACCCTGATATCGAGGTCTGAAGAATCAGTGAACGCGTGAATGTATCCCCTTAAACCCCTGAATGGTACACAATATACATATATATATATACACACATACATATATTATATGTTTATGTAGATATAGTTTACACTGTGCCTATTTCCAGAAGCTGAGGCCCCTAAATTTCAAGGCCCGAGCCCAGTCAACACGGGCTGTAGGAGACCCGTAGCTGCTCCCTAACTAAACAGTGAACCCTAAACCCTAAATCCCATAAGCCCTAAATCCTATATAAACCCTAAGCCCTAAACCCTAAACCCTAAATCCTATAAACCCTAAACCCTAAGCCCTAAACCCTGAGACCTGAAGCTGCTCCCTATTTCGCTCCGAGGTCTGCGGGTCGCTGATCCTGCGGCGTAGGGGACCCTTCAGGGTTTAGAGTTTAGGGTTTAAGGTTTAAGGTTTTTTTTTTAAAGTGTAGTGGCCCCCTTTCTCCTGCAGCTGCAAGGTTTAAGGTTTAGGGTTTAGGGGTTTAGGGTTTAGGGTTTAGGGACCCTTCGGCTGAAGGCTTCGGGGACCCAGGGCTTCGGATTTTGTCGGGGCTTCGGGGGGCCCTTCAGCTGAAGGCTTCGGGGCCTAGGGCTTCGGATTTTCAGCTTGGTTGGGTGGTTTTGGGTTTAGGGTTTAGGGTTTAGGGTTTAGGGTTTAGGGTGGTTTACGGGGTTTTGAGCTGCTTGTGCTCTGGAGACGTGCGTGAGGTGAGAGCGGCTTACTGGAGGCTCGAGATATTGGCTCCAGCTTCACGAAAACGGGAAAGCTGACATCAACTCTAAACCCAAATGCATGATTGAATCCCCAAAACCTTCCTGAACCCAAATCTCTGAAGCCACAAGTCCCTAGACAAACGTTCGTAGAGGAGCCTCAAAACCCAACGCCCACATGAACAGAAAGTGGGGTCGTGTCCTGGCCAGCACGGCCTTCAGCTGATCCGTGAGGCTCGACAGCAAAGCCTTCCGGCGATCCTGCCAAAAGTGGCTTTATGCGGGCGATTGAGAAATGGGGGGGGGGGGGTTCCGAAAATAGGGGCCCCTAATATAGCACCCTAAATTAATAGGATCCTTATAACAAGGACCCCAAAATAAGGTACACCCCCCCCCCCCTATTTTCAGAAAGTCCCAAGTATGATAGGGGTCTCTCAGTCCGCTTTGCGGAGCCTTTTTGGGAAGGACCTGAGGGATCGCTGGGTTTAGGGTTTAGGGTTTAGGGTTTAGGGTTTCGGGATCAGGAGCTCAGGAGCATCAGGGGTATCCCTGTGGTAGTACTAGGTTTTGGTCTAAGCTTAGTTGTCATAACATCGTCTTTGGTTTGGATCCCATGCTCCAATGCTTCCGGACTGCGTGGCTATGCAATTCCCGTAACCTGGCCCCCCTGTACACCTCAGAGCTCCAAACCGTAAACCATACGTACACAGCCCCCAAGCCCAGTCCTCTGAAAAGTTCCCAAACCCCCGCCCTAAACCCTAAACCCTAAACCCTATACCCTAAACCCTAAACCCAAACCCTGAAAGCTTCCCGAGGAGGAATGGGAGTTGGTGCCCGCAGCACTTTGGGGTTCAGCCTTGCGGTGAATGATAGTCTACATGCCTCAAGGGCGGCCCCAGGCCCGACAGTAAGGAACAGGGCCCCCTAGTAGAAGCCTCCAAAGGGAAGGATGAAAGAGGGGTGGGGTTCAGGAGCCCTTATATAAGGACTCGGATTACCCCACTTCTCTTCATCCCAGCCTGAGGGCCCTTTTTTGAGATTAAGGCTTCTAATCGGGGTTCAAGGATGGCGCCTGCAGCTCCTCTCGTTTTCGCTTGGCTTCCAGCACTCGGTTGGACCTGGGAGGGAGGGCGGCTTTAGCATTTAGCGTTTCAAGGTTCAGAGTTTTAAGGGCTTTAGGGTTTTAGGGTTCAGGGCTTCAATGCTGAGCGTTTTTGATCTGAGTTTTGGTGGAGACGCTTTCAGACTTTGGCTTGTGGTCCAGGTCTGACTAATTTGCCCGTACTACTCTAACCCACATAGCCACCAAAACTCACAAGGAGCCCTCCATGCCCTCACCAGCCCCCCCTAAGGATATCCCATAATCAAGACCCGTTGTAGGCAGTCTTGGCGATACCCTCGGGATCCGACTCCAAGGTCATGTTGCCACTGGCGATGATGGGTATACCTGGGGCTTCGAGTTGAGGGAGGGCTTCTCACGCGTTTCCGCGTGGTCTGAGGCTGCCACTGGGCACAACGGGTGCATTTACCTCGTCATGGTGGCTCGGCTGAAGCGGCCCCCCACTTCTAAGCACTGCACTTGGCATTTCCGGAGATGTCGGTCGGAATACTAGTTGATATCATCCCGAACTGCCAAACTCTGAAACGGCACAAGACGCCCAGAAGAATCTGCCAAGCTGCTATGGTGGGCGACACCTGCAGACTTGTCGTTTGGGGCTTCAGGGTTTACGGTTGAGGCTTCAGTCGTTCCACACCAGGGCGGCCAGGAACGGCCTTGGAGCAACTCAACCCAAAATCCCAAACACCTGAAGCCCTTAACGACAAAGCTAGTAAATCCCCAAAACCCTGAACCCCTAAACCCCCTGCACAACAAAGCCCTAACGCTAGGCCCGAAAAAATGGCATCGGGCCTCAGCCGGCACATCGTCCGGAGCCCGCTGACCAGCCTCGACAGGATTGCTCCGAGGCTCTTTGTGGCAAGAGAGCTACCAACCAAGGGTTTGCTTCTGGCCCCTAAACCCTAAAGCCCGAACCAAGGGGGTTCTATGGTTTTTACTCGGACCGTGGTATAGCTTTGGGGTTTATGTCTGGGCTTTAGGCTGTAGGACTCTACGGCTTTAGGGCCACTGAGTGCTGACCTGGCATCGCCGGAGCCCTGAACCCTGGGGCCACCACTACAGCAGTAAGATAATGATAGTCGTACGATTAAGAAAGATGTATACCTAGACTGCAATATGGCATGCGGAGATTCCGCACACAAAGCTGAGGCCAAAGCCTTCGCCCGCCACGGTCTCAAGCCTTTTGCAGAGAGCTCGCGCTCAGGGCTGAGAGCTTTAGGGCCCTCAGTTAAGGCTTACAGTGGACCCGGGTTTAGGATGTGGGCTTATAGGGTTCAGGGTTCTGGGTTGCTCCGCGTGTGAGGTTTGAGCGTTCTTTGTTTCTTTCAGTGGCGTGGAGGCTGAAGGGTCGGGAATGACGATGTAGCACTTTGCACCTTGGCGGGAAAACGTGACTGCTGGTGGGGGGTTTGGGGAGCGTCGGGTATGCGCGAGTATGCGCAGGTATGCCCGAGTATACCCGAGCACGCACGAGTATGCGCGAGTGTGTGCGGGTATGCGCGAGTCTTGTACGTATATCTACACCTTTGTTTTTATAGTTACATATATATCTATAGAGAGAGAACTATAGCGATACATTGCTTTTTTGGATTTTATCATATACATCATGTAATACCAATGTTATGCAGATATAAAATGAAAACATGAGCATTAGATATACTGTATAAGGCATATTATACATTGCATCTCAGATTTTACAATAGCATATGCTACATATTTAGAGAACCATATATAATATACCATATAGGCTATTATGTTTTATACTCGAGCGTGCCCAAGCATACTCGAGCAGACTCGAGCGTATGCGCGAGTACCCGGAGTGCACCCACTTACATATACTCATTCAGGTATATGTATATATACATATAAACAAACAAGTTAGTTAATATATACATACATACATACATACATACATACATACATACATACATACATATACATATATATATATATATATATGTGCATCGGTGCCTCTATTTCTCTACACATGTATATAAGGGTCATTATT